GGGTGTAGGGTGTATAGTGTAGGGGTAGTGGTAGTAGTAGTAGTAGTAGTCGTAGTCGTGGTAGTAGGAGTAGTAGTAGGAGTAGGAGTAGGAGTAGGAGTAGGAGTAGGAGGAGGAGTAGTAGTAGTAGTAGTAGTTGAGTAGGAGCAGGAGCAGGAGTAGTAGTAGAAGAAGAAGTAGTAGTAGCAGCAGTAGTAGCTGTAATAGCAGTTTAGTAGTAGTAGTAGTAGTAGTAGCAGCAGTAGTGGTAGTATAGTAGTAGTAGTATGGTAGTAGTAAGAGTAGGAGTAGGAGTAGAAGGAGTACTCATAGTAGTTCCGGCGGCCGGGTTGGAGCTGAAGCTGCGGGTCCCTTTCGAGGTTGCGGCGGATTCTGCTTGGCTTTCATCTCGGGCTATTGAGGAAAACCCCTCAGATCATGCTACTTGATCATTATACTAGCATGTGGGAAGGTCTCTTTCTCCCGCTCCCTCTTCCAGTTCCTTTCCCTCTCCCTGTGTCTCTTTTTCTGATAAAACTGCTGAGAAAGATTCTCACTGAGTATGGCAGTGGCGCCAGTAATGGTAAGAGGTGCAGCCTGCATACTGCTGTAGACCTCCCAGACTCTGTAACGACTTTTGGAGGCTCCGTGTCAGATGCATAGCATGCGTTTCCAGACTGCAATATAGAAGCCTTAATGATGTGAAGCATGACCCTTTAAGTCGCATAGAGGCGGGCGGCGGCTTTCTGACACGTTGGGCCCTTTATAAGCCCATTCATTGCTTCTTTATTCCCAAGGTTATTTTCCTGGAGCCATACATGTAAATCTGGCGTCCGGTGACACAATCATTGACAGAAGAGCTCCAATAACATGGTTATTCTCTGAAGGCATCTTCACTACTTGAGTTTGGTCGCTCAGGGATTATTGGCCTTGACATCAATATTTGGGTGTACAAAGTCTTGACGAATGCCCGCTCAGGCCCGGACATGTGGCGTGGCCGCCTCGCATTCGTGAACAGCATTCCGGGCGTCGACTACCCGCAGCTGCTGCCACCATTGGTGCAGCAACTGGTCAGAGTTTGCAGTACTTCCAGTGAGGAGGAAGAATCGAGATGTACGTTATAGTCATCATTTTGATTGTAGTTGCTCTGACTAGTTCTTGTCATTGTTGACCATTAAATCTGGCAGAAAAACCACCCTCTACTGAAACTTGCATGCTGAGTACTTGAATGGAGTTTGGAGCTTCCACGAGTGTAACCCGGAGCCTGCAACCACGTTGACCCTACGAACGAATTCATAAACCCGGGCTCCTGAGGGGCTTGGAAACCCCGCTGGTCCACAAATTCTGAACAGGGAGGCAGAACCAGGGTCCTCAAAAGACTTACTGGTCCTGGAGCAGATTGGAGTATAATCCCTGTATGACCAGCACAACATCTCCTACATTTGCCCCTCCAACATTACCTACACTTGCTTCCCTACTCCGCCTTGATTGCTAGTAATGAAGAAAGACCAAACTGGACTCCAAGCAGCCATCGTGGATGAGACACGAGTGCCCGAAATCCTTACTGATACTCAGTTGTGCAGTTACCAATGGTATTTTTTTGTTGGCATCGTCTCGCAATGGAGACTTGTGCTTCAGATATACCACAAGATCTCATTTTATCATTCATGTCCCCCAATGCATGTGCGTTTTGTTGTGAGACGTGATTAACGGCAGTGTTCTTATGACTGCTACTTCTAATTCCTATGAGCGCTTGTGGCACCATTGCACCAAAATTTGTTGTTATTGCCGTCTCTCATGAGGGTTGTCAGAAGGATCAGAACTATTGCTGTGAGGTATACTGGCCCTGTCGTGGATGTGAAGAAGATGGAGCCCTTCCCAGCGGAAGTAGAGACGCTTTTCTGATTTCAGTCGGTTGACTTAATTGTCTCAGGTTGAAGCTAAGAGCGCATTTTTGACGGTCTGCGGTTTCTCCAACACGTCCCTATGCTTTCGTCTCCCGTACAGCAGTGGAAGATAGACCCTCACTGATGGTTTGCGGGATGATGTGATGTTTTCGCATGATTGCGCAGCTTGTTCTCGGAACCCTCATCACGAAGGTCGAGTATTTTGGGACACATGCCGTCATCGAAAGCCGTGTCTTGCAGAGTCGATCCCATGCTAGTGCAGGGGTTCCCTCTGAACTTGAGAGCTTCCGTCTTCGCGGCATGTGCGATTGAACTTCACGGACTTTGGGTGGAATTGTTGAAATCATGATTATGCCCTCCAGTACATTCCTTCAGGTTTCAGAGCTTGTATGGGTGCTGATGCAAGCTACTCAGCCCAAAGATATGTACCCGGATAAAAAGGCCGCATATCACGATTGTCTGGACGTGTCCTGATGACAGGCCCCAATATCCCAAACCCAACAGCTGTTAAGCCACTGATCCCTGAATACACCATGAACTCTGAATCCTAGGCCTTGAGCCATTAAAAAATGCCTTGAATGTGGGCATTGAGCGCATGCGGCCCAAGGGCCTGGATTGAGTCCGTGCCGGACGACATGCCCATCGTCTATGTCCCGCCCTAAACGCGATGGGTTACACGGGGCATTTCGGGCCAAGAGGGATCACAGAGGCGTGGATCTTGGAGGAGTTTCGGCAAACACAAGGGATGCATTGGTGAGCGTATGCAAAGGGTATCCGTTCCTCCACGAGTTCATGAAGTAATTGGCATAGGTGGAGAGAGCGCATGCTTTGCGTGAGACTTATCCCATCTCACCAGAGTATATCCATCGAGTGAGGTCAGCTACGGTACCATCGTGCGGCTGACGCCGGAGAGGGTCAAGGGCTTAGACCCGAAGCCAGGTCCAGCTTCTGGAATCATGTCCACTTGTCTAAACATGCGGGAAGACGAACAGCCCTATGTGAGGGTGCTTAGTAGTTTGAGACACAGTCCATCAGAGTCCTTCCAGTTCTGACATGTTTATATGATGCATCAGAAGGGACTGGCGCAAGCAACTTTGGGCCTCTGCGGTTGAGAAAGCTTTAACGATGACGGGTCTGTTCCATTTGGGGTCATTCTAAACATCAATGCTCCTACTGCTATTAGTTACCATTGCGCTCATTATCACTGTCAACCCGACTGCTACTATTGCTATTGCGATTGTTTATTACCCTGCCAGTACAGTTTTTTGATCACAAGTGTATTCGCTACTCTTATCCGATACTACTCCTGGTACTACTTCCGACATTGTTGCGATTATCATTTCCATAGACTTTCTGGGGTTCAGCTTTTCACGCTCAGGTGGCTGCAACGATTGCGGCCTTGACGTCCACAACGCACTACACCTTGTGGGCGCTGCCGAAGCCGCAGCAAGTTGGCCTACCAGGTGTGGGGAAGTAAAGTGTTTTCGAGAACCATCGGATGTATGGGGGATCATATTAGAGATCCCTTAGAAGGGCACTGTTGTTGAGCAGCTTCTCTGTGTTAGTGCCAATCAAAGAAAGTGGTGACAAGGACTGACTCCAATTTTGCTAGGCTGCTCTAGAAGATGAGTTCTTCAAAATGATTATCGCTTGAGTACTGTGCCATGTTGCAGTGACATTTGTTGTTATCTTTGCGGCTTGCACGTCTAATTAAGCAGTCTCTGAAAGCCTTCCGGCAGATACACTGCCTCCAAGCATCATGATCCACCACTGGATCCCCACTGCGCGAGCGCTGGCTCATCCCAAGGCAGGTGGTAATGCCGCTCCTCTTGATGCTTCTCTTACTTTTCCTAGTACTAATAGTTGTACTGCGACTATGATGACAAGTCTCGTGTTCTTGTTGTTATGAGCATCATAAGAGTCATTGTGTCGACTACGATGACCATGCCTCAAAAGTCTAAGCCACTGAGAGGTCAAGGCCTTCGTGTCTCATTGTGGAGGCGGGGATTGTGCATCACTACGACGAGGGGGTCGTTGAATTGTATTTCTGTCCTTCACTTAGCCGGCGGAAGTCCCAGTGGAAGTCATACTCCGACGGGACAGGTGCTTTACTGTCCAGGTTATGTGATATTGTCAGTGTGTGAGCAGGTACCATTGATTTTGCCCAAGCACTGCCAGGGAATTCGGCTGTGGAGTCCATGGCCATGGGCAAGCCACTCATCGGCTACCCGCAGTTTGGCGCCTGGATCTCAGCAGCTTCATGGATTTCATCTTTTCAACATCTCTTAAAGATCTGGGGGTTTCTCAAGATTAGGGGTACCCTTTTGGGGGGTCCTTATGATATAGTATTGGGGGGTCTATAGTGGGGTCCCCCTATATTTGGGAAATTACCATCTATTGCAGGTTTGCAGCTTGGGGCTTTCCGAGGATCAGATGGCCGTCTGCCGTAGAATCGCAGATGCTGGCGCCGGGATCACAGGCGAGGCTTGGAGAAAACTTTTTATTGGCAGCTACGGTTTTAGACTTTAGGGTGGCTCTTGCACTTCTTGCAATTTCTGCCTGGTGCTAGGTGGGGAATGAGGCATATCCCAGTGGTATCCCCAGTTATGGTTTCCAAACCCCAATTCATTCTTCGAAAACAGCTTGACCGTGCATCCTAATTATCATATCTATAATCCTTGGAATCCATTCCCGCATGACCTCAGCATCAGAACGCCCCTGGCTCGGAAGGTCCACAGGGCGGCTGGGTCCAGGTCGAGGACCAACATGGCTAGAGCCTGAATAGGTATTCATTCAAGCTCAGGATCACATACTAGGGCCTGTCTTACCAAACCCAACAATGTGACAAGGCACACATGCCTCTTGAGAAGCTTCCAAGGAGTTAGCTTCCGCAGTTGATTTTTGTCCACGCCCTGCAGTGCACTTTGCAATTTTGTTTGCGGAATAAGGGGGTTGGGGCTTAGGGCGGCCATCTTTGCCAGCCCTTTCAAGATCAGCCGCCATACAAGTATTACTATGGTTACTAAAGATATTGCTTGTCCCTGCATCCTATGTCCTATGCATTCTGCCTACTCACGGAGAGCTAGAAGCTGGTTGCAGGACGTTCGGCAAGTGCTCGGAGACGCACGATTTGCCGCACGAGCGAGGAGCAAGTTTGCAGATGTTTGGCAGCCACCGTCAAAGCGGATGTTTTCCGAGTCAAGGGGGGCATCAGTTTGGATGTCCTGTTTGTGGCCCGTGGCTTTTGGAAAACGCTCTTGATATCAGCTTTTGTCAGCGACCATGCCTCACTTTACAACGTTGTTTCCGTCGTTGTGGTTCTCGCTATTACCATGGCTGTCCTTATCCAGGACCATGTCGCGGTTGCTGGACAAGTTCGGGGGCACGCTCGGCACTCGGTCTTCCAGGATTTACTTGCGGAGGCACTAGGCACTCTGCTTCACCGAAAGTTTGTCAACAAGCCACGCCTTCCATCGCTTAGCTTAGCAATGACGAGTCGGTCTTGACATACTAGAATCTGGAGGGAAAGCGTGCACAACATAGTAAATACTCAAAAGGCATGCCAAATAAATCCAACTTTGATGTTAGGTGCGGAATGGCCGGAATTACCCGGAACGCAACATGAGAGCGACTTCACGCGGATGCCTGAAACGGTGCATGCCGCCACTCTGGAAGGCAACACATGGCGTTGTGGGATTTGGCTGCGTCGGTGACAGAATTCACCTCAAAGCAACAGAACGCGAGAAGCGGTGAGATTCTTGAGCGCAGCGGTCGCGGAATCGACCAAATGCTGGGACGGCGAGATCCATAGGTACATGTAGGTGCGAGCACTATTGAGATCATAAAGCAACTAGCCAGTACTCGTACGTGTGTGACAAGCGAATAAAAAGAACGGCAGCGCACTATGGGGTCATGATGAGTACAGTTGCGAAGTGACGATACGCTTCAAGTAGTCTTGAGAGCTCTGCGTGCCTGATGCCATCATACATGTTTCATCTTTTTGATATCAAGCAGTAATGGAGTGAGACGGAGTGCCAAAATTATGGGCTCTTTTTGGGGGCCGAAGTGCATTGTAAAACCCCCCGCCGAAGGGGCCATGGTTTAGACAACCTCATTTATGCTGCTAGTTTGCTGGGTTTAAGAGTGCTGCCATAGCGGGTGACAGACGTTGCAGTTTTTGCCGACATTAGGGTCTTGGGCTTAGGGCCTGTAGCCCTCTAACCCTCTAAGCTGTGCTTCATTGTACCATCAAGGTCCCGCGCTGCCGACCTCCTGGAGCTGGCCGCTGCAGGGGATCTCGAGCCGCTGAAGACGCCACTGGAAGGCCTGGCAGAACCTTATGGGAAAGGTTTTTGGAGTTTTTGTATGGCATACAAATAGATATCTTGTGTATATCTATGTGAATGCGCATGACATTTGGAGGGTCCGGAGTTTGGGGTACGAAAGTGGCGTTGGCGTGGTGGACAGCTGTCCTCCATCAAGCTTAAGTGCAATCTTACCCGAAAGAGTGTGATCAGAGACAAGATTGGACAAAACTTCGCAGGGAAGCAGGGCTGCGGCACAAAATGCCGCTCTGCAGTGCTGCGCAATGGAACGGATCTTGAGAGCCAGGAGTTCAGGGTGTCTGACTGTGATGTTGGGCGGAAAGGCTGCCATGGTCGACTGGGATCAGTACCCCTGTGCCAGCTTGAAGGCTCCGCCAGCTCCTTCTTCTACATGGGAGGCAGGGCAAGATGCCATCAGGCAAGTAGCAGTACCAGCAAGAAAGCATTGTGAAAGGGTATTTTAGTTTCAGGAGTTGCCGTGCTGCATTGGTAAGAACAGCATTTCAGAAGCACCCGCTTCTGAAGGCTATGACCTTCTGATCTACGCGCAGCTGCTAATGTCTCTCGGTGTATAGCATCATGCCGAGTTGTCCAGCCCAAGCGTGGCATTGTCTGGATGATGCTGCCGAGGCTGTTCTTCTTCTTCCTGTGTCTCTTGGCTGAATTGGAGATACCGTGCTGTTCTTTGCAGCTGTGGCAACCGGATGGAGCGGACCCAACAAGCTTCAGGCACACGCTGCTGCCGGTGCTGCTGTTGGAGGAGATCAGTGTCAACGCCCACCCAAAACGGAAAGAAGAAGATGCATTGCGTCTTGCATGCATTTTCGGCTTAAGCCATGTCAATGACTCATCTTGCACATCATCCACGCCTGCAGTATGGCAGTCTTGCATCGTCTTGCGTGTGTAGCCCGGGCCCGCCAAGGACCAGCAACATCCTGCAACTCGCTCAGTTCTAGGTGCTCGTCCACAGTATGTTTGGGTGAAACCTAGACGGAGCCCAAATTGACAAAACCTTCAGAAGTCGAATTTGTGCCGAAAAAGGTTCTACAGACCCGATTCAGCACTTGGAACATCCCGTGTACAGGCTGTGAAGAGGGGATGTGGGACTTTGCGCAGACATGGTTCAGCCCTGTACAGCAGCTGCGGATTTTCGGCACACTGCCAACCATTTTGCAGTAGATTTTGGATGGCTGACCACCTGCGGTTCCCGCTTAGTCAGGCAAAGCCTTGCAATTGAGTTTTGACATATGGTATAGGGCTCGGCTGCTCAGGAACCGACCCTCATCCGAAGCATGCGTAACGCTTGCAGACAAAATGCTGGGGCTGTGGTGGAAACCTTGAGAGACTCGAATGTTGCATGTCGCCCTTTCTGATTATTAACAGGGACCCTGGAAATTGGGGAAGCTGAGCTTAGCCCCCTCAAGCACATGATGTGTGCGCTTGTGAGGGGAACCCATAAAAAACAGGGGCAAGAGCCCCCGGTTTGCCAGAAGTGTTTCAGGCAGGTTTGAAACATACCTCTTTTGACTTGCTTGTTTTTGGAAGGGAGAACGCGCATACACTTGTTCGCGTAAGGGTCACCAGTATAAGCATTATCGGATACTCCAGAATCCCTTCGTTCCAAACACCTCTATATACTATAGTAGTTTCCATTTTTTCCATTATCCCTATATAGCCCCTATATACTATAGTAGTTTCCATTTTCTCTTCCATTATCCCAATATAGCTCCTATATACTATAGTAGTTTCCATTTTCTTTTCCATTATCCCTATATAACCCCAATATCCTATAATAATCCCTATATAACCCTATATAATCCCCATAGTTATCCCTATCTATACCCCTGTTTCCTGGAACTGAGCACAAAAAGCCATGGCAAGCGAAACACCAAAGCAAGAACATACGTAACATGGGCTTCAACCATTAGTAGGGAAAAAGGGAATAGAATCCCCATATAATCCCTATATAAGGGAATAGAATCCCTACATAAGGGAATATAATCCCTATATAATGTTGCAAGGTGTGCTGGTAAAGTTGTTGGACTGAAGACGGTATGGGTGGAAACGGATTTCAGGCTCATTTCCTTAGTAGGCTTATAGGCTTGCAGATTGTCTGAGTGGATCTGAAGTCTGAACATCCGCTCGCTGCCTGAAGCCATTCAGCCCTGCTTTCAAGTCGCTCCGACTTCGGGTTCTGGTTGTGTAGGTGCAGGATCCTTCAGTGCAATGAGCAGCTCAGATCTTGGAGGCCTTCACGATGCAGAACGAGTTGAAAGCCCTTGATTTACACGCGTGGATCCTTGAAATGGGGGAGTGTCCCCCTAAATTTTTCAAGACATTGGCATCTTCTTCAAGGAACGTCAAGCAGGGGCTCCAATGAAATGAAGTCGAGCCCAGTAGAGCCTTTCCCACTTGGGCACTCTTGCAGATGTTCTTGGCCATATGGGCACCCGCATATATGTTTGCTCTTGTCAATCGCGCCCTAGAGACGTGCCCTGAAGCCACATTCGGCGTCAGGTGCCATTTCCGCGAGGAAATATCATTTCCTTGTCGTTGGAGTGCCATTGTCCCCGCTTCACAACTGCGTGTCGATCGCGCAGGAGCTCCATCCTACGCGGATTTTACACCAAGGTGGTTCCTCTTGAAGAGGGGACCTATAAACATATACATGTATGCGACCGATCATAGAACGGAGTTTCTGAAAATTCAAGGCCTTCTGGAATGGGGCTTTAGACAGTAGAGCAGCTTTTTTTTTTTCAATCTTGATTCGGCATTGTGGTTCTTCGAAGTTCTCTCTTCCATATGAAGATGGATAGAGGCTGCTCAGGTACGCCGCAACAGGCTATGTCCGCAAGCATCTTCAAGAAATGCCGTGAAAACATATGAGAACTTCCGTCTACTTGGAGAGGTTTCATATAAGTAGTATAGGTGGTTCAGCCTGAACAGTTTTTTGCGATGCGAGATAGCAACGTCCTTGCGGTATGGGATGGCTGCAGTTCCATGGAATTTGCAGGAAATGACAGTTTGAGGTGTAGGCCCAAGCCTTGAACTGGGGCAAGCCTGCCAGAAGCAATCAGGAGCTCTGCCTCAGAGGCCACAACGTCACCGTCATGAGCTTCGCAGACCGAGGATCTGTCTGCACTTGTTAGTTGCAAGAGCTTCACAAGTTTCAAAATGGAGCTTGACCTCGTGCTACTAGCAGATGTCAAAGGCTTGCACCTGTAGGGGAGGGCCTTGTAGCATGAGATCACGCAAATCGCTTTGCATAGCACGGTTCACGCACACTTTCATTGTAACAACACCCCGCTGCAATCTTCCGCCACCGCCTTGCAGCAGTGAATCGTTTCGGTGTACTATGCAAGCTGCGAGGACGGCAGAAGGTGGCAAAATACTCTCCCAAATGCAAGCTGAACTACATCAGCTTGGGTGAGCTGCCTGTCAGTGATGACAAGGAGAGGGAGTTCCAGGCCTTAAGTTTTGGGCAGCCAGTGCTACATTACATCCGTTTCGGTAGCTAGCCGTTCACAGCCTTAGCGCGTTACCCAGGAGGAAGCACTGGTGCGCGAAATGCTGACCACGAACAGCACCATACACCAGGCAGGACACAAACCTGCAAGTGGATGCGTCTCGAGTGCTTATGGATCAGCAGGAGCGCTCCCAACCTTCCGCCACACCAGCTTGCATGTTAGTGCCCAGTAGTGGCAGGAGTCTCTCTTGCCTACGGGGCCGATCTGGCTGCCGTGCTCGCGCTTGCATGCTGCTCACCACTCTCGACTGCCACTGTCCTGGCGTGCCTGTGTCAGATCTCCTTCATGATGAAGAACGTGATGACGCCCTACTTCGAGCAGCTACCATCGGGAGTGTCCAAGGCACTCGAGGCTGGGGAAGTGACCCTCGGCTCATTTTACCAGCTGTCTTAGGAGGGTCACAAATTACGGAAGTCGTCGGGTTGAACCGTTTCCAATTTCTGTACTGTACATCGCTCCGCTACCTGCTGCCCCAGCACCGTCCCGGCCCTGCCGCTCGCCACCCTGCGCTGCCGATTGCCACCCGCCACCCGCCATCCGTGACCTGGCACGCGCCACCCCTTGCACCAGCACAGCCATGCTGTTGGAAAAGGCCCCCAGGGGCCCTGCAGACCGAGGCAGCCGGACTTCGCCTTGCTGGGGCTCCCCTTCGGCCTCGTGGGCCGCGAGTTGCAGAAGCGCGGCATCGACTTTGCGGCTGCTGGGACTGAAGCAGAGCTTAAGGACCCAGGTTTAGGCCTTAGGGTCAACAGGCTTGAGGGCTTTAGTGTCGAGGGTGCCAGGGTTTCAGGTCTAGGGCCTAGGGTTCAGGCTTCAATGAGCATGAGATTTTTTGAGTGGGAGCTTGCTTGGTCGTTTTCAAGGGATCAAAGTGTATAGGGTTTGCGGTCTAGGGCTTGGGATTCAGGGTTTGCAAGACGTTGAGTTTTCTGCTCGTACTTATTCTTACGCCCCTGCCGACCGTTCGCATCTCTGTTGTTCACACCACCGTTTCCTTTTGTTTTGGTCACCGATCTTACCCGTGTTCTTTGTTTCGCAATGCTTCATGATATTTGCAGCTGTGTTGAGCCTGGGGGCATGAGGGGCAGGTGAGGCTTTTGCCAAGAGATGCCGTCTACATGGGTTCCTGTCATTTCCATGTTCCCAGGCCTAATTTGCAAGGCTAGAGAAGAGCTTGGCGTACATGATGCCTTTGATGTAGGTTGGACTGGCTCAGATCCTTTTCGTTGAAATGCCAGGGTTTGGACTGACAATTGGCTTGTTGACTATTTGGTAGAAGAGCTGCTACCACCAAACTCCTTCGCCCTTGCTCATCGTGCCCAGAGGTGAACGTTCCGACCATCCTCGTTCCACCGCTGAATCCGCCGCTGGGATTCACTTTGAAATTCGCTGGGAGGGCAGAGGGATGTACACAGCGAGGTATTATCAGTCCAGGTTACTGGGTTCTGAGCGGAATGTGCCACCCAAGTCAGTCTGCGTCCTCCGTCCTATTTCAAAGCCCACACCCAGGATTGATATCACGCTTTTTCTTTTCATGATTTTGGTGCTGGTATGTTAACAGAATCCATGTCAGGGGGAACTGGACATTACACCGTTTTTGATTAGAGAAGGGTTTAGTTGCCAGCTGCATACCAGCTGTTGTACGCGGTAACAGAGGGATAACAGAGGGCTTGACAGAGTGTGCTTTTTCCGGGGTTTGTTTTCTTTGGGTACAGTGGCATAGAATTCGTTTGTTTGGACAGGAGCATTGGCAAAAACATTGAAAGGGATGACAAGACCAATATAGGAAACAAGCCGGAGAATAGCAACCGGAGGACTAAGAAGCAGAATCTAAAGATTCTCACTGCCATTAAACAAGAATGGGCTTTGCTGGTGCTTCTCCGTCTGCGGATCCTAGTGCTTGTTCTTGTGTGGGTGGACAATTCGTGCCATAAACAAGACTGTGCTTGGGACTTGGGGCTTACATGGAATTTTGTAGGACATTGTCCTGCCGGTCCGTAGAAGCTGTTGTCTGGAGCCTCTTAAAGTGCTGCAGGTGGGCCTCCTCCTATGTACCGCTTCCTTTCTACCTGGTGAACCCTCACAATATGACCTTCGTGGACAGGCTCTGGTGCTGGCACACTTGCCTTCATTTTGCAGTAACAGTTCTTACAAGAAAGTTTTGAGTGTCCACGTCCATGGAAGGTTGGCTGTCATTGGTGGCAACTCGCTGCTGAATCTTGGCGCGCAATGCTCTTCATTCTCATCGTGTTGGTTCCCATATTTGGTTGTTGTTTTGGCCGGAGCGGAGTAGGGTGTCCGCTTGTGTCTCGTGCCCAGTGATCAGGAAATGCTCGGTTTGAGAACTTCCCAGCTCAAGGCCAATGGTAGTGATCATTGAGCATGGCGTTGCCTCGAAGACGTGGGTCCTAATTGTTGATGACCCGAGGACCAGCATCGACCTCTTCCTCCACAATCCCTACTCAATCTCCAATGTAGGTCGCACATGCCCGTCGATGCGTATGGAGTTTAAAAGCGCTTGGAACCCTCACCCCCACATATAAATCTCTAAACCCTCTTCACCAAGCTCTAAACTCAAACAAACCTGAGCCCTGCCCAGGAATTTTGGGCGAAACCTGGCGGTGGCAGCGGGCTTCCAGTTCTCCTTCATGCCTGACCTTAGCGGCTGTGACCCGAAGTTAGGCTTTAAGGGGAAAAGGGTATGGGAATCAGTGTTGTTGAGGTGTAGGCGCAAGAAATAGCTATTATCGTTGCGATCGTCGTGGCAGTTGGACCTGACGTTCGGAAAGCTATGGAGGGTTCTGTCTGTACGGATGGGATGGTACCCCGAGGTTTCGATATTCAGTATTCAGGGAAACAGGAAGATCAAGGTGATGTCGCATGCTAATAGACATGTGACATTTGTCAGAGATTCAAGCAGTTGCCGGGAGTTGCCCAAGTTCACGCCCCAAGCTCCTTCAGCACGCCGCACTAAGTCTGAAGATTTGACGGTGATGCAAGAATCCATGAGAGGAAGAAGTTCTTGCTCCCACTTCCCGGTGCAATTCATCTTGAAGGACCTCGACACAGCCTCAAGGAAATAAAGACAAATAAAGTATCCTGCGGGAGAAGCTTTTTGAAGCGTTGGGGATCCTACCCACAGTCGCTCGGTCGCCCTCATGGAAGAGCTTCTTTCTTAATTCTCTCCGCCAGTAATTGCACAAGAAAGAAGAGGTCGAAACTTCCAGAGTAATGAGCTCGTCTAGCAATTTTCCGGAAACCTATCCCAAACAAACACCATATGGTTGGGGGTGCTAACACGACAAATGCTCCCTGAGGCCCGGATATGTGGCGTGGCCGCCTCGCATTCGTGAACAGCATTCCGGGCGTGGACTACCCGCAGCTGCTGCCACCATTGGTACAGCAGCTGGTCTGAAAAGAAATGTGCTCGTGTACTTCATTCCTCAACATGATCAGAAAGGCTTTCTTCGCATACCGCTCAGCTTCCCAGGTAACAGCTACTGGCCAGGTTTAGTTCCAAAAGCTCGCATGGCTAGTACGGGTCCATGATGTTGTTACCCGCGTGGTGGAACATTTTGAGTAATTAGTTGCCCAGGTCCCAAAATTCTAGCAAACCAGCAAGTGGCCTATGAAACCTTTTCCGCCAGAGAGTCTTCCAATGAGTCACATTCAAGAACAGTCGCTTGCATCACTGGCTTGCGAAATCCTCGCACTTGCCGGTAATATTGCTTGGACAGACAGCCTTGGTACACCCTAAGTTACACATGACATGCATCGAAAGTTCAATTCATCATCTGACCTTTTGTTGCCATGGGCGTTGTTACTGCAGTACTATTGCTGCTTAAGAGCATTTTTACCCACATTCTCTGTGGGGTTCTAGTTGTTTGATGTGCGTCGCCCGCCATCCCGGCGTGCTTTTTGGACGTGCCCTAAATCTTTCAAGAATTGCGTTCTCGCTCGGAGCATCCTCAAAAAATCGTCGTCTTATCACGATTTTCTATCTCAAAAATGGGTCGCTCTCCCTTTAAAGTAGTCTTGCTATAGGGGTCTGCGCCCGAACTGGTCGCGCCCCAATTTTCGAAAAGCGAGCTCCCGTGCGGGACATCTTCAAAATTCCATATTTTGCTTACTCAAAAATCGCGCTCCCACTCGAGACAATTCGATTTTTTGAGTTTTTCTCGTCTTTATATCTTCAAAAATTGCGCTCCCGTGCGGAGCATCCTGAAAATTTTGAAGAAAATCGCGCTCCCGTGCGGAGCATCCTGAAAATTTTGAATGAAGTCGCTCTCGCGTGCTCCAGCGTCCTGAAATTTTGCATAAAAACGCGCTTTCGTACGGAGCATCCTTGAAATTTAAACCCGTGCTGAGCGTCCTGAAAATTTTGATGGAAATTGCGCTCCCATGCGGAGCATCCTCAAAATTTCGTTGAGTTTGCGTTCAAAATCGCGCTCCCGTGCGGAGCATCCTCGATGGCGATGGATGTTGCATTCAGATACATGAACTTACATACATACATACATACATACATACATACATACGACATACGGCGGAGTCAAGTGCAAGAGGCAAAGAGTCTAACCGTAAAAGCGGAATTTGAAGGGTAAGGAGCAAACAGTCTAACCGTAAAAGCGGAGAATTTGAAGGGTAAGGAGCAAACAGTTTAACCGTAACAGCGGAGAATTTGAAGGGTAAGGGGTAAACATTCTAAGCGTGAAAGTGGAGAATTTGAAGGGTTAGGGCCAAATAGTCTAGCCGTAAAACCGGAACATTTTAAGGGTCAGGGGCAAACAGTCTAACCGTAAAAGCGGAGAATTTGAAGTGCAACAGGCAAAGAGTCTAAGCGTAAAAGCGTAGAATTTGAAGGGTAAGGGGCAAGCAGTCTAACCATAAAAGCGTAGATTTTGAATGGTAAGGGGAAAAAAGTCTAACCGCAAAAGCAGAGAATTCGAAGGGTTTTGGTAGCCTGGATTCTTGGGGTTGTGTCTGTTGAGACACAAAGAACCCACAACTTACCACTTCCACGTCAACATTTGTTGGGTGCACAACATCACTTCAACATCTTGCTGACTTCAACATCTTACTGAACAATGTCACCAGACACAACCCTAAGAATCCAGACTACCACAACATTGTATTTACAAAAAGATGTTTTTGGTAGCTTGGATTCTTAGGGTTGTGTCTGTTGAGACAGAAAGAGCCCAGAACCTACCACACACACTTGCACGTCTCAAATCGCAAGGGGTGTCCCCCTCAGGATTTTTTCGCAGAATCAAGTCCCCAAATCTCAAATCGCAAGGGGTGTCCCCGTAAGATTCTTTTCAGAGAATCATCTCCCCAAATCTCAAATCGCAAGGGTTGTGCCCCTACTGTAAGATTTTTCAGAGAATCAAGTCCCCAAATCACAAATCGCAAGGGGTGTCCCCCTAAGATTTTTCAGAGAATCAAGTCCCCAAATATCAAATCGCAAACAGTGTCCCCCTAGGATTTTTAGATAATCTTTTCCCCAAATCTCAAATCGCAAGGGGTTTCAGGGAATCAAGTCCCCAAATATCAAATCGCAAACAGTGTCCCCCTAGGATTTTTAGATAATCATCTTCCACATCTCAAATGTCAAGGGGTGTTCCCCTTAGGACTTTTTCACAGAATCAAGTCCCTAAATCTCAAATCTCAAGGGGTGTCCTCCAAGGAACATCAAGTCCCTAAATCTCACATTGTAAGGGGTGCCCCCCAAGATTTTTCAAGAGAATCAAGTCCCCAAATCTCAAATCGCAAGGGGTGCCCCCCTAAGATTTTTCAAGAGAATCAAGTCCCCAAATCTCAAATCGCAAGGGGTGCACCCCTAAGATTTTTCAGAGAATCATCTCCCCAAATCTCAAATAGCAAGGGGTGTCCCCCCTAGGATTTTTTTCAGAGACTCAAATCCTCAAATCTCGAATCGCAAGCGGTGTCCCCCTAGGATTTTTTCGAGAATGGGGTGTCCCCGTAAGATTCTTTTCAGAGAATCACCTCCCCAAATCTCAGATCGCAAGGGGTGTCCCCCTAAGATGTTTCAGAGAATCAAATCCCCAAATCTCAAATTGCAAAGGGTGCCCCTCTAAGATTTTTCAGAGGATCAAGTCCCCAAATCTCAAATGGCTGGGGGTGTCCCCCCTAAGATTCTTTTCAAAGAATCATCTTCCCAGTTAGCGTCTCGGCTTCTTGTTCTTCGTTATTTCGGCGGGCGATGGCATCCTGATATCATTTCCCTTAGATTCAGGTTAAACTACACATGTGGGGTTCTCCGGTCTTTTAATTGTTGCAGTGACATTTTTTAGATAAGTGGAGGGCGGCCATCCCCAACGTGCCTCGGAGGTAGTATAAAGGATCTATATAAAATCTAAATCCGGATGTTCTCCTGTTTAGGTTCAATTCCGGATGTTTTTTAAACGTGGGCGGCCGGACGCCATGCTTTGCGGAGATAGTGTAATAGATGTTTAAAAAGCGTCGCCGTACGATTAGCATTCACAGTGCGACGGTCCTTTGTCTCTCTTTGTCTTCTGATTGGTCTCATCATACGTACGCACATCATGCTGACTTGAGGTACACTGGCCCGGTCGTGGATGTGAAGAAGATGGAGCCCTTCCCAGCAGAAGTAGAGACGCTCTGCTGATCTGGGCCCAACCAGTCACCAGGTTTTCTGAGTGAAGGCTGGTCGACACACTTTTTTTTTTCCGGTTGGGTCTCCTCACCTGTTTATGCGCTCCTGTGGGATGTCATAGATCCTAACTCCCCAAACCCTGAATTCGTGAACATGAGCCAGTTCCCGTGGATGCGGCCCAAGGTCCTGGATCGAGTCCGTGCCAGATGACATGCCCATCGTCTACGTCCTGCGCTAGCAAGGAGACTATCTAGGGGCTTCCTTGGATTACTTGGACTGTATTCTCGAACAGCTTCTTAACTTAGGTGTTTTTTTTTTGCGAAGTCCAGGTTGGGGTATAGGAATGATTTCATCCTTTGGCCTGCGTCTTCATGAGCCTGCACGTGAGTGAGGTCAGCTATGGTACTATCGTACGGTTGACTCCAGAAAGGGTGCCGGGCTCAGACTGGTGATAAAACCTTAAATAAATAACCCACTATAACCCTAATATAACCCTAATATAGCCCGAATAGAACCGTAATATAGCCCTAATATAACTCCGATATAACCCTGATATAGACCTAATATAGCCCCAATATAACCCTCATATAACCCGAATATACCTAATATAACCCTAATATACCCTTAATGAAGCCCTAATATAACCCAAATATAACCCTAATACAACCCTAACATAACCCTGATATAACCCCAATATAACCCCAATAAAACAACCCTAATATAGCCCTAATATAACCCTAATACAACCCTAACATAACCCTAACATAACCCTAACATAACCTTAATATAACCCCAATATAACCCTAATATAACCCCAATATAACCCTGTGAGCCCTAAACCCTATGGAAGCTAGCTTAACCTGCTGAAAACATGTTTGAACAGCCTGGGCGCAAAGCAAGACCACCAAAATCATCATAAATGTGACTGTTCTTCGCATGACTATTCTTGGCTGCTAACTGAAACCAAATGCAGCTATCATTGCAATGGTTTTTGCAGCTGACAGTGCGCACTCAGTTTCACACCACCTGCCGTTCTCATCTAGTACTATAATGACTGTCGCTACCGCGACCACGAACATGACCACGGCCTTTACCATTATTTCCAGGTGGCTGCAGCGATTGCGGCCTTGACGTCAACAACGCACTACACCTTGTGGGCGCTGCCGAAGCCGCAGCAAGTCGGCCTACCAGGCGGGAGTGATCCGTGTAGAAAATTCTCCGAACAGGAGTATTTTTGGGGCTGTAGGATTTCGGGACGTAATGGTGCCTCTTGAGGAGCGAGAAGGGCTCTTTCGAGCAATTCCCATGCCTGAACAAGAGCTCAGACTGTGCTAGGCCATTCTAGACATCCCCCAAGAGCAAGAAGGACAAAGCGCCCCCTAAATTGTCGTCAAACTTGCCTGTTGCTTCTCTCTTCCGTTGCAGTGATAGTTCATGTTCGGTGTGTTATTGCTGAAGATTCCTTTGACACCTCACCTGCAGATACACTGCCTCCGAGCATCATGATCCACCATTGGATCCCCACTGCGAGGGCACTGGCTCATCCCAAGGCAGGGCAGCGTTAGCCGCTTGCTGTCGTTATGTATTGCTAGTACTTCCAGTACCGCCTTGGCGGATGGAGGATATCTTGTACCACGTAAGATCCGACATATGATTCGCAGGGTGTAAGGTATGCAGGGTAGTGCAAGACTTCCTTCATCCACAGTACCATCACCACTGCAATCACTACGATAGCGTTTGCAGACAGGAGCATTGCGGCGACTGCTCGTATGATTATTACTGTGATAACGCCTACTAGTAGTGTCAACACGGCTAGCGCTACCATTAGTTGGACCATTAGTTGGACCATTATAGGGACGAAGTTGAAGACTCCCAGTTTTCTGTTCTGTTTTCAATCTGAGCATGATGATGTCTTACCCTCGGCAAGCTGACCGGAGGTGAAGGCATTCGTGTCCCATTGCGGAGGCGAGGCCACTACAGCAATGTGATGTGCCGAACGATCTACGGAAACCTCTCAGATCCTCTCAATACTTCACCAAAGACTTGCGGCATTGAGACAGCCTGGTAGCGTCAGGTTTTATTATACCAAGGTATTAATCATGAGGCCCTAGCATGGGTCCGTGCCTGCATCCTAGATCCCAACTGTGGGCCCTGAATTGGCCAGTTTTAGGCATAGCAGGTGTATCGGACCCAGGATCATGGGCTCGCACAAGGGCATGGTTGGAAACCGTAGACTGCGCAGATGTTTTTAGACTGAAGGGAGGAACAGACTTTACATGATGTGGTGAGTGAGATTACTTTGGACTTTCCTTGAGCATTGCCAGGAAATTCGGCTGTGGAGTCCATGGCCATGGGCAAGCCACTTATTGGCTACCCGCAGTTTGGCGCCTGGATCTTAGCAGCTTCATGGATTTCAACTTTTCAAAGTCTCTGAAAGGTTAATTGCAGGTTTGCAGTTTGGGACCTTCTAAGGATCAGATGGCCGTCTGCCGCAGAATTGCAGATGCTGGCGCAGGGGTCACAGGCCAAGCCACGGCTTGCTCATGCCCTTAAAAAAACTCTTACAGATAGAATTGTGGACGGCACCCTTGTTTCATAACATACCTACCTGAGTTCCTGGTTCATTCAAACTGCCACAACCCCCTTGGCCCGGGAGGTCCACAGGGCGGCTGGGTCCAGGTTGAGGACCTCCGCAGCAAGGGCCAAAAGGGTCCTTATCAAAGAGAGGGGGTCCCCCCATTATAGAGCAAGATTCGGAGTCTGTTCTTGCCTGTGTCACACTGCGGCACAGCGTTTGTGGTTGCAGTTTTTTTTGCGTAGCCGGGGAAGGGGGGGGTTCTAGTGGCATCTGCCGGTCTGTTGAGGCCCAAGAACTGCACACCGGAATGAGCCAGTATAAAGCCTTCCTCTCATGGACCGAACCTGAAGAGCAGAAACCCATAGTGCAGTCCCCCCAGTCCCTGTATCCGGGATGGTTCTACTTACGTAGGATTATCATCTGCTGGCAGGACGTTCGGCAAGTGCTCGGAGACCCTCGGTTTGCAGCAAGGGCAAGGAGCCCATGCGCATATATTGGGCAATCATCACTGTTGGAGTTGTCAGCTTCCTTTTTGGTCCTCTCATTTTGGATGGGCCCTTGGCGTTCTTTTGATCAGATTTTCTTCGCTTTGAGTAGCGATGTTGCTATCACGCTCATGTTGGGACATCTCAGTGGAACGTTGCCTGCACTTCTGTCATCATCATGAACGCGATTGCCAGCAGGATTATCATAATATTGTGGAGGACCATGTCGCGGTTGCTGGAGAAGTTCGGGGGCACGCTGGGCACTTGGTCTTCGAGGGCTTACTTGCTCAAGTGCAATCAGTCTGCTGCCGGTGACCTGGGCTGCGACCGCTGCAGCGAGAACAATTGCGAAACCAACCCTGATGAGGTGTTTGGAATTATTTGGGGGTGTTTGGTGGCGGGTGGGGCAGAAAGCCATGCAACTGATGCAATCTTAGAGCACTCACTGTAATTCAGAAGAGAAACGAGCCAGTGAATACGAGAATTAGGGAGATGTGGGACTCGAAGCCTTTGTTCTTTGGAGCAAACTTGTCTCATTGCCCTATGCCAATTCTGCAGCCTTCGTGTGTTGCCCGTGATCAAATGCGTGCCCAATATCCTAGCGTAAACATGGTTTTGGGCCTGGGAGTGCTTTCTAGCATTGCCGCGCAGCAGAGTCCGGCAATGCCATCGCAAAGTTCCACTGCAGGCTTTGTTGGCCTTCAAGCGAGCTCCGTCGCTGCTGTGCCGAGACATGCTCCCCGTGTTGCGTTCCAGCGATGCCATGCCCGAGATCTGCCACCATGTTCGCTTTTCAGCGCTTCAGGCAAATTCAGTCGCGCCACCCACCTCCCACGACCATCGTGTACAGCCTGCCACAGCCAGCGCGTGCTGCTGTCAATGATATGCCCAAAAAAACGCACTGGATTCCGCGAATGCCGCCCGATTACCTCACCTTCCTCTTATGTGGCCTCGGACGAAGTCTATTACCGTTTTGCGCGAGGTCAAGCTTGGGGTGTTTTGGAGTTTTGCATTCCATGCGCGAGAAAGTTTCTTTTGAAATTCCTGCCCAACATGCGCATGAACCTTATAGGTTGAACTCCGAAAGTATAAGGAGCAGTACCAGCTACTGGCATTTTGACAAAACGCATTGAAGGGGAAGTGGATTTGGAATGAAGGGCCCGAGAACTTTAGACCAGAAGGTTTTGCCTTTCAAGGGGCGGCCCCACATTACGCCTCAGATTTCATCATGTGTTTTTTGGATGTCTGATAGCGATATCCCCCGAGCCCTACAGTTCTGCTACGGGCTTGATGGACATTGCAAGTGTTTCCCACACCCTAAGTCATGTAGTTTGCAAAGAAACGTAGTGGCTGTACTTGTAAAGTTGTTTATCCGTACGTTCCTGTCTCTTCCAGGTCTCGCGCCGCCGACCTCCTGGAGCTGGCCGCTGCGGGGGATCTGGAGCCGCTGAAGACGCCGCTGGAAGGCCTGGGGCAATATTGCAGGGGGCAGCAGAACCAGGAGGAGCCAGAACCCTTGAATCACAAGAGGACTGGAAGGTCTCAGGAAGTATTCTTCAGTATCAGGCTTCTGCATGGTTCAGCTGGGATTTACAGAGCAACGCCAGCAAGGCAAAAGACATGCGCACAGAAAACGCAATTTAGGGACTTACCACTACTATTTTTATTACTAGTACTAATTTTACTATGATGGTTATTAAGGATATTAAGAGCCAGGGGTTCAGGGTGTCAGATTGCCAATGGCCAAGCTGTGTCGCCTATACCAATCCAGAGAACGTACGAATCCCAAAACCTCCAAAGCATGACCCTTAATAACCATACAGTAAAAGACGACTAGTAAGAAATAGATTGATAATAATGATTTACTAAAAATAGTACTAACCATAATTTTAATTCTAGTAATAGTAATGGTAATAGCAATAGTAAGCCATTGTGTTTTCTGTGCCCTGGACTTTTGCCTTGCTTTTGCTTGCAGGTTCTGCCAGCTCCTTCTTCTACATGGGAGGCTGGGTTTAGGGTTTAGGATTTATTGTCCTAGGTTTAGGGTTTGACAGACCTAATGGTAGAGTAAAATAACATCAAAATAGCAGTCCTGCATTGGTACTTGAAGGGTCAGGGGGACTTGGAAAGTACCCCTAGAAACCACACAGTAACCCAACTATCCCCAGTATTAACCTACTTACTAAGTCCCCTTGACCCCCCCAAGTAGTAGTCGGAGGAGGAGGAGAGTGAGCAGTAGGAACAGTGTGAGTAGCGATTTAGCCGGGACCTGGTGGCAAACGAGGAGGCTGGTTTGAGTGGCCTCACCTCATCGCGTGAGACCACTGCCAATGTGTGGATCTGCCTGTAGAAGAGAACATGCTGTGACTCCCCCACCGCCTTCCAAAGGCTACGACCTGCTCATCTACGCACAGCTGCTGATGTCCCTCGGTATGTAGCATCACGCTGAGTTGTCCAGCTCAAGTATGGCATTGTCAGGTTTTTCTTCTTCTTCCTATGTCTCTTGGCTGATGGGGAGCCGCGTTGCTGTGAATTACTGCTGCCGCCGCTGGGTGAAGTGGCGGCAACAATCCTTCAGGCACGCGCTGCTGCCGGTGCTGCTGTCGAAGGAGGTCAGGGCCGACGTCAGCCCAAAACGGAAAGAAGAAGATGCAGTGCGCCTCGCATGTGTTTTCGGCGCAAACGAGGTTCATTCATGTATAGCCGTGTACCTGACGCATTGCAGCAGTCTGAAGACTTCTTCCGATAATTCCTGTGGCGCTCATGCATCATCCTTTTGCTCTTCAGCACGCAGTTTGCACTGACCCTGCCAAGGACCTGAAATGCACGCTCAGTTGTAGGTGCTTGACCACAATGTGCTTGGGTGAATGCCAAGACTGAGCCCAAAACAAGTTACACACTTCATAAAGCGAATTTGAAAGTGCCGGGAAGGGTGCTACAGACCCAATGGCACTCTTTGGGAACATCCCATGTACAGTTTGATTGCAAAGAAGGCACGTGCGACTTGGAAGACGCCGGAACAACCGAGGCTGCTCCACAGCCTCCAGGTTTTCTGTGGACTTCTGGAGTCTGGCAAATGTTTAAACGCAGAGGCGCAGACATGGATCAGCCCTGTACAGCAATGGCTGCGGATGGCAGAAGCTGCTGCACATTGGACAGTTGAACCCTTTCCTACGGATATCAGCGACTTGTTGAACATAGCACAAGGCATTTGACTTCTAGATACCAGTAATTGCCTGTCCAACTTAGTGCGGCAAAGCCTTGGGATTGAATTTAGACGTATAGCATCGGGCTCGGCTGCTCAGGAACCGACCCTCGTTCAATGCACGCATAGGGCGTTGCACACAAAAATCTGGAAATCTGCGTGGAAGTCGTTGTGCCAGCGCATGCCTTCGCGTTGGCAGTTGACAATTGTTTCGCACTCAAAGCTTTTGCAGAGTATCTACTCGGTCAAAGTCCAAGGTCAAAGCACAGACTTCTTACAAACACACCAGCAGCGTTGTCTATAGCCGGCGCCCACCATGAACATTATCAAGTCATGTTGCGGCACCACACCCTCCACAAGAGCATATGAGTAGCTCTAAGAAGTAGAACCCCTCCGCGCCCGCAAAATGCTACATTACCCTTGCTTTGAAGGAGCCTCCGTCCATATCTCCCATGGCGGTACGTTGCTATGTCCGCCGAGTGGGCCAGCTGTTGGTGCTTGTGCTTGGAGCCACTGGGTCCGAAATCCTGTAGAGGGACTGGGATGCAAGACTTTCTCATAATTCACGACCATTTCGGAGGGCCTTTACTATGGACAGCTACATCGTTTTGTGAGCATATGAGGGGACTCGTAGTTTTGCAGACGTTACAAGCTGCGCACAATTATTCGCACCTTTCGTGGCAACGAGTTCACTTCATGATGGGCATTTCCCCATCAACAAGCCTCTGCAAGAGACCGCATGTCAGCTGAGTTCTGGGCAGTTGCTTTCACGATGCCAGTGCCAGCGAGGCGGAGAGAGATTCGCAATCTGCAGGGCAACACTTATCGTCACTCGCGTACCATTGTTTTTGCGGATGCTGCAGTCAGGCGGAACGTAAACAAACAAATGAATATTTGGAGAATTTTGGAGACCTGTAGGCAGTTCATGGATTTCGCTTCATTTGGGCCCCGCACTCTTATGCCGCAACAACTTTCTTGAATCCTTTTTACAGAGGTTGATTTGACCGCTTATGCAACCGTGGGGACATTTGGCCAATGTCAAGCTTTAAGTGCACTCTCTGTCAGGGCCAGTAGCACTTGGCCACACTGGGAATTTTGAAGCCAAGTTCCGAATTTCTACCCACTCAACATGCTTTAGCTAGTCCTTCAGGAGTCCTTCAGTGCTGGTTCCTGCAGGCGCTTGGCGGCCGTGCGCCGGATGGCCGGCGATGGAGGCCGGGACTACACTGACGATCTGAACCAGCCGCTGCGGTGGCAACTGTGAGGTTTGAGGGTTTAGATTTTAGATCTGTTCTGCTTGTGTTGTGATGAGGTGTGCATAGCTGTAGGGGTGTGGCTCTGAAGGATCTGATTGGGTTCGGACAGGAGGGAGTCCGTTTGTTGGAGCTGTGCCTGTCAGTCTGGATGTCTCCAGTTTTAAGTACAAACAGAGGCTTGACTGGACACCACAGAGGAACTCCAGGGCCCCAATGTGACTCAGGGTAAGACCAATCAGGTGAACATACTAAGCGCAAGGAACCAAGCTTTGCTGAAAGTGCATGGCTTACTTGCCGCCTTATTGGGGCCTTGTGACAGCCGCAGCCCAGGCGTACTTTGGTACTGGGGGCGATTTTCCTGGCTGCCAACATCTACGCTTTCTCTCCCATCGTTTCTCCGGAGGCACGGGTCACTTGCACTCGACAGTAGTAAATTTAGTAAAAGTAGTATCCAAAACGTCTGGTCTAAGATGGCAAGAGTACCTTTACGACGAAAGATCATGGCACAGTCGTAGCGGCAAAACAGTTTGCTTTGCAGCCCCAGGCAATGTCTCACACGCAGGGTGACGTTTTAAACGACAAATTGATACAGTCCCGATGACAGAGACTCACATGGACATTTCCAGAATTTGGAATTCCCCAGATTTCTGGAAATCCCCATACCATCTTTGCGGGGCGCGTTGTTGAAGACTCCCGCAGGCTCGGAGACTAAAAGTGTGCGTCTACGACAAAGAGTGCCCTGCCGGGATGGACCAACTGGGAAGTTCAGCGTTTGTGCCTAAGGTTCAGGGTCAGTGAACGTCAGAGCCTTGCCAAGCGTGGCCCCTGGAACACACCTCGTCCAGGTACGAGCGCCAGTTCATAGCTGACCCAACCAGGCGGCTGTCACCGCATGCATTGACAATCATTGATTTTGAGCGGTGAGTAATGGCATTATTGAGTCATCTTCTACACGTTGAGCTTCCATTTGGCGTGCTGTGCGTTGTGTTCGCCTAGAGTGCTAGCTCGCATCCTGGTGCCAGGAATACCCAGGGCCTCACTCTGCTGCAGGACCATGGAGCGGGGAATGGTCGCATGCAATTTGGGGAGCTTTTGATGATGTGTTTGTTGTTCGTTCTCCACTTCTATGGGTGCAGGTGTGCGCAGGAGTCTTTGGGTGTTGCAGTATTCTGATCGCTCACCGCGACACCTCGGGCTGTGCTGCTTGTGGCACTCAGCCGCTGCACGCTGCCAGGGGCTGCAATTGTCATGTGAGCAGTATTTTATTTGGGGATACTATGGTACCCAATATAGAGTAAGATCATATCCTCCTTTTGGGGTATAGTATTTTATATAAGAATATTATCTTACTGAGTTCAACCACCAAAAAAAACGCTACTCATGTGGGCAAGGAACTTCTGGCGACTAAAGAAATTTTGAGACATAGCCGTCTTTTCTTCAAACTAGCATGGTCTTTTGCTTTCGCACCAGACAACTTTCCATTACCTTTCGCTTGAGGAATCTTGCCTGCAGCTCGCAGGAGCTACTGCAAACCTCTTCAAGAGGCAAACATGCAGGCCTCAGGCATTTTGAGGCTTTGAGCCGCCACCTCTGCATGGAGCGAGTCTTAAACGGGGGTCCACGCAAGTTAGAGGTTCGAGACATTGTTAAAGCAGCCACCAGAGGTGAGTCATGATTTTGTGACACCCTAAGCGATTACTGTGTGCAGAAAGGACCCCGACTGCCTGCCCTTGGGAGAAGTGCTTCAGAAATGGCTGCCGCAACCTTCACAGTGAGGAACAGAGGCTTGCTGGTAGCTGGGTAATCCTTGCAACATCAAATTGAGCAAGCAGATCAAACCTAATGGCACAAGAATTCATTTCGGCACAGTGAAAGCTCGGATCATCACAGCTTTGGTGTGAGAAGACTTTAAAGAATCACATGATATGCTCGCTCAATGAGCTTTCGTCGAATCAAAGTGTCGCGCGGCCTTTCTGATACAACATAGCATGCTGGCTTGCACAGCATGTCCTCCACAAAGTTGGAGGTGCTTTGCTTGGAAAGGTGAAGAATGCGCGCGCTCTAAACTTCAGTGTCAGCTGAGTGTTGATTTGTAACGTTCTGCCCTGCGAGTGCAGTCCCACCTTGGGCGTCATTGAAGGCTTACCTACATTAATGGACAATGTAAACTACCTTGTACAATAGTAGTTTTCACTGTTCTCTCCACTGATGTCCTGAAGGCCCAAGCTCCATGGCTCATTTGGCCGTATGATGCTGTGCCGTCTGGCCCACCTCTTGCAGGGTTCTCATCAGAAACTGCTAAGCATCAGCGGCAGGTATAGATGGCCCTCTTGGAAGGGGATCGTGTTAAACGCCTGAACCAGGGGTCACTGCGGCGAATTAAGTCCGGCGGTCGGGACGCTGGGTTCTGCATCCTCCCATAGGGCGACTAGAGTCACGGCTGTAGGATTTCAATGGTAGTTGTCAACATTAGGGTCCATTGGTGTGGCTGGGTGCAGCGCGTTTACGCATAGCCCGAGGGGCCTTGGCTAAGCCTGCTAAAGCTACAGAGCCTGCCTTACCTAGTTGCCTAATCCAAATCAGGGCTGTGAATGTAGCCGCAACAGCTGTAGCAACAAAAAAAGTTGGATCCTGCCCATACGGTCAACTTCTCAATGCTCACAATACGGACATTCTCAACATGGAGGATGAGGAGGAGAGTCCATGAATGCGCAGATTCACCATGAAACTTGACGAAACGGAAATTCTCCATCCTGGTCTGAGTATAGTAGTAGTACCCGTCCACAATGGCACAAGTAGCTTGTAAAGTCAGAACATGCTTGTAGCTCCAGGAAGCATGACTCATTCGGCTGCGCCATGCCTGCTGTGCGGCTCACATGCTTGCCAGGTTCTTTGCAGATAGATGGTGTGCATCCACATCTAGTACCCTCTCTGATAGTTCATGCTGGATGGTCAAGTTGTTACCACGGTGACAGTAAGTCCAGCAGTCATGATGCTGCGTGTCATCCTGCTGTGCGCAGGCAGGGACATTGGGGGTTGGCACGTTTTGACCCCTGTGCAGTATCATTGCCTGAAGGTATGCCTTGAAGGACCCTTCAGTTCCTGAAGCCACCATGTGACGCCTAGCATTGCACCCCTGAAGCTGATTAATTGCTCAAGGACATCTAGGGAGTTGTTTTGTACTTGAGAGAGCAGCAGAGGAATGGAGTAAGGCTGAGATCTGGGGGCTGCGGCTTTGAGCGGTTTACTGAGGTTGCGACGCAAATGAAACTCAAAAGGTCTACGTTTTTGTGCTTGTACGGATGTAGGGTTGGGATTTAAAGATTGAGGGTCTGTTTTGATTGTTACCGGCTGAGGACTGGATATAACGGCAGTAGATTGGGCACTTTGACCTGCGCTATCCACCATACCCAAGGAGGAAGTCTATCAATTGTCTACAAGTGGTTGCAGGGCAGGGCGAGGGGCAGACCTGCGTGACCGAGAAACAAGCGCCGTGCAATGGCACAAGCACCCAGACCTATGCACCGTATACATGTAAAACCGCAGTAGACCCCAAAGCAAAGAATCAAACAATGACGTGTTTTTCAGCTGCAGGCGTGGCCGCCACCGCAGCGGTGAATTGCACCGATTGCTGGCAGGGTGGGTTTGCCCATGATGAGGTCTGCTGCCAGGCAGGAGGGAGCTTCATAGTCTGGGGCTGTGCAGTACGATTCAGGGCATTGCGTTTGGGGGTTATGGGTAGGCTGAAAGGGTCTTGTGTGTTGCAAGCCCGGAAGCAAGCCTGAAGAAAGAACTCCACTCTGCAGTTCATGAGGTTGTGGGGCTTTGCTTGTTGCATGAGCGCAGTCCAGTCTGATCAGTATGATCTCAATCATGGCAGAAAGTGGCTGTAAGCGTAGCTTCTGGGTCGATGGTGCATGTGTAGGCCTGCTGCAAGACTAACATGAGTCCTCGTACATCATGTTTTCATCCCAGTTGGCAGTTTGACTTATTCTTCCTCTGCAAGGAAAAATCTAAACACCCAAGCCCCCGCTTATCAGCCGATGTTCCACTTAATGTTCCATTTTTTCCATTTGATTCTCCACTACGTATTTAAACCAGCTACTATACAGCTCTAAACTCTTTTCGGCCCTACATAACGCCGAATGACTTATGTGGCCCTATACACAGCTACATACCCCTACATAACCCTGTATACCTGACTGGGGCTCCCTTGGCCAGGAGTGTCCAGCTCAGTGCTCATCAGGTTCTGCATGCAGCAGTTGAGCCCTAATAAAAACTCCTGAAAGGGGGTTATATAAGGGAGTATACTACTACAGGTTATTAAAGGGAATACTAGGAGCTTAGACTATGGCTCATTTGGGTGTTTGGCAAAATTGGCGGTTTCCCACAGGGGGGGGGGCCACTGGGGCCGGGGACCAGCGGGCTCTTTCGGGATTGCAAGGGGATTATGAGGGTCCTTGTTCGGGATTATATGAGGGTTATTTGTCACACATATCCAAATCATGGGTTCTCTCTTGGCAGATTCTTCATATCTTGGTATATGCAGGGCAAGGAAGAATCCTAGGGAATGGTCAGTAGCTGGAGGGTCAGAACGGTTCCAAGCGTCCAAGTCTTAGGATTCCCAATGTCTAGGGCAGACGTAGGCCCCTTGGACCCTCAGTTTCAGAAAGCTTAACTTTTAGATCTCGAGAAGGTAGATCTTCCAGAAGGTGACAGGAGGAGGAATATGGGATAATAGGGTAGAGTCACTTCGTGCATAAGAGCAAGGGTTCTCCGTTCTCAGGGGATGGTACCATTCACCGGGTTCTCAAAGAACATTTTTGTGAGAACTTACCAAGCCTTGCTGTTCTCCCCTATCCTGTTTTGCAAAGCACTCTCCGGCTCGCTGAATGCATACTGTACTGTGCATCATGGTATTGCAACAGGCTTGACCTACTGGTTCTTAGTAGGGAATAGGGGAGTATGTTAAACACGGAGTATATCGGGATTCTATTCCTTTATCCCCTACCAAGAACCAGTGAAGTGAATTTGGAGCCAGCAGATTTTGGACCAAGGTGGGGCTGGCTTATGATGGGTTATATAGGGATTATATAGGGGTTATATTGGGATTATATTGGGGTTATATAGGGATGATGGAAAAATGGAAACTATAGGGAAGGCATCAATTATTGAACCTTTTGGATCCTGGGCAGGTCAATGCACCATGATGCATTCTCAGGGCTACAAGTGCTATGACCCCAAGAAGGCGGGCCTAGAACAGGAGTTCTTTTGGGATTGGATTGCCCTTCAAGGTGTTGAGAAGGGATTTCATTGGCGAAGCCCTCAAGGCCTGGTTGCGCAGGTTCTGTACCTTGATCATATCTTGAGTCCACATACTGAGCACCAGGTAATTCTACACGCCTAAAGAGAACCTCACTACGAGAAACTGCATAACATTTCCTGTAGAATTCCCATGGCATCTTCACATTGGTGGACAATCCCACGGCCTCGCACTTAATCCCCACATATTCCCAGGGTCCATTCGCACGAGCTTCTGAAGCGCTACCAAGCATCCAATTGACAGGAGGTTGTCTGTGACCTTGGTACGGGGCACCTGGTCTGCGAGAAGGATCAGGCACAGCTCCTCACGAAGCCAAGCTAAAACGCATAACCCCACACTTATGACCTAGCTCTTGAATGGCAGAAGCCATTGTGTGGCCTGGTTGCATGTTATTCTTGTGGAGGGAGTCTAGCTAGGAGTTCTCAATCCATATCTATAGGGGCCTGTAGACTTGTTGTTCAGAGGACGGCCACTATAAGGGAACTTTGCCAGTTCGCGGTGTGTGGGAGGGATCTAGTCTTGCGAAACGCTCAGATTTCAGCAATTCGTCATCCCCATGCGCTCCTGACATAATCCTCCCCAAGACAGGGTCCCAGCTCTTTGAAGCGCAGGTGTGTCCCTCCGCGGGACCCACCTGCAGTGGCGGCCCCGTGAAGGGCTGGGAGTGCCTTTCCTGCCCTGAAGGCTGGAGATAAGGGTTTAGGGTTCAGGGTTTAGGGTTCAGGGCTTAGCGTTGAGGGTTCAGGTTATAGGGTTTAGGGTTCAGGAACAATGGAGTTGTATAGAGATCCTTTGGTAATTGCAGTAGGACTGTTGTTTGTTCATAGACGGTCAAGATTTGGGTGCAGGCTGCGTAGCCGATTTTGAGCTGAGGTCTTCTTCGGAAGATTGCTGCAGAGTTGTGCTTCAAGGCTAGCTTGGAAGATCATTCCGAATTCTCACAAATCCTGGTCATGAATCCTGCGTATCTTGTGCAAAATCAGATACCCTTTGGCATGGGCAGGGCTTCCGTAAACGAATCACCATGGAACGCCATGTTGACTTCCTTCCAGAGGACAGTCATTCTGGTAGGACATGCAAGTGGCAAAGACTCTCTGCTTGCATGGGCCTGCATTCAAGTAAGGCGGGATCTACAATGCTAGCAGGGGAACGCATGAGAGCTTTCCAAAATCAACATGCGATGCGGTAGCGTGACCAACCCTAATTGCGAATGCTGTATCACCTGAAGCCGATCCCCGCGAGACAAGCAATCGGAAGCTCAGGTTCTAGTTGTGCGTTAATTGGCGAAGAGTGCAATGCGGTAGGTGCGCTGTAGGACTAGAAGGCGCCTGTGCTTATCTATCGGCTGTGACAGGGCAACGTCCAGACGAGTCCCACTGCCGCTGTGTGTCGGCGCAGCGAGCGGCTGATCACGTGGTTGATGTGGGTGGCCTGCCAGCATCAGAAAATAGCCACTTGTGTGCAGGCATACCACTTCTTATCAAGGATCCAAAACGACCAAGTGTACTAGAAGTGTTAGAACAAATTGGTATAGATTTGTTGGTCGAGCAGGCACATCCTGTCAAACTCAGGAAATCGTGCCTGTCCGGCAGACACAACCCCGCTGACTTCTAGCGAGGAGGGGCGTGTCTTTGCCAATGCATCTCGTGACTCTACCTTTCCCAATCCGCAATCCTGGCTAGGAAGAGTGCGCAGCTGCTGCCGAGGTTCCCGTTGGTTGCTTTCCCCATTTCCTAAAAGGACCCAAAAGTGGCCGAAGCAAGAGCTTTGAGAACCCCCGCATTACACAAGTTTTCCATTGTTTTGCTTGTTCCCTGCCGCCCCAAGTGACTGGCTCCTGATGAAGGCAGTTTGGCCCGGCCGTGGCTGCTATGGGCGCAGCTGGAAGGCTCAAGCCGAGAGTGCCTTCGCATTCCAAGATGCTGTTATGCGGAGATGGTTCCTCGCCGTTGAATGTAGGTACTATAGCACAAGTCTTGTCAAAGCAGGAAATCATTCAGACGCCGGCTGATGGTCAGCAGTATCCCGCAGGCTGCATGTTCGAGGCCACCGTCCTTGTGCTGTCTGGGTGTCTCTGACAAGCTGATATTCTCATCCTTATTGAATTTGCATGGGGCCTTGAAAATGCGCCCATGATTATTAATATTGTAGGAAAGCCTTTATTCCACACCATGAAAACCTCCGTGGAATAGCAAGCCTGAGTGTATCCGGTATCCTTGCAGGGTGCATGCGCCGCATGTGCGGCTTGTCCAGGTTGCTGCGGGGGGAGGCTGTGCGCTGCTCTTCAACCCGACTGGCCAGGCAGCATGGTTTATGATACTCGGTTGCCCCACATCAGACCCAACGTGAACAACAAGTGCCCAGGGCCTGACAGGCCATAGGTCTTCTTATCGCTATTTGGCACACAGAAAGTTATTTCCTCAGCCCTGTGTAATCCCAGGACTTTCAATGGCATCTCTATCTAGCCTAGTTGCGAAAATATTCATACGGGCTTGCTGAGTATCTAGCCTGTCTACCAACCCTGCAGCCGTTCACAAGCCGGCTGTCTTCCGCCTTGTGGCAAGGGATCACAGACTACCTGTGGGGTTTAAAGTTTGGGGCTCTCCCGCACTAACGGATACCCAACCAGGCGCCGCAAGAATGCTCCCGAGGGCTTCCTGCTTGCGAGGGGTGGATACCCAAAGACGTAAATCCGTATATCCCCCTTTATAGGGCACTCGGATGTCCACTTTATTTCCCATTTTCTTTTCCAGAGGATTCTCAAAAATTGGGGATAATATTCCTGATCTTTCTCACGCGAAATATTCAAACCCTACAGTGATGACTACCTGACTTTACCTAGATTTCAGCTGCCGGCGCATTTAGGTGATCATGTTTCACATAGAGACGCTGGTAATCTGTCCGCCATATGGTTATTTTGGCATACATGCATATGTGTGGGGATTATATTGTGATGTGTATAGGGTCCAGGGTTTAGGCATATTATCCTCAGTAATGGAGAATCAACTGGAAAGAAACATGAAAATGAAAGGAAACTGGGGTGATATTGTGGCAGGGCTTACGGTTTCTGCAAATTTTGGGGGTAACGTGTTGGGGCTCCTAATATTAGGGCTACAGCATTTGGGGTCTCTTTTGTGTTCCGCTATTGGGAAAGTACCATATCAGGAATGCTCTTGCATTAAATTGAGGCCCATACTGAAAGTTTTATGGATAGGTAAAGTGGGGTTGCGAGTTCCCGAAAGTTCAGGATCACAAAGGCTAGTTACAACTAAACCATGAAGCCTGCAGAAGTGTTATGTGTATAAGCGATGGGCTCCTTGCCAACATGGCGGTAGTTTCGCCTTGCCTAGTAAGGCAGAGCATCGCTGCTCACAGGATTCCTTCCTTCAGTCAATCAATCAATCAATTCACCAACCGTGAACCTTAAAGTAACTCAAGAAGCCATCTTGAGGCTTCAAAGTAACCCGATGTAATCCTTGAGAGGGATCCTTGTCATGCCACATTCTCCGGATGGCACTCTTTTTTAGAGCCTAGAGATCTGGAAGGATGTTCCTCGTATGAAGAGTTCCGCACGTGCTCTCGTTTCCAAAAATGGGGCCTCCCGTCCAACACACCAAAGTACTATAAACTATAAACCCTCCCAAGAGGGACAAGTTCCTGAGAGCGCACATGCAGAGGCAACAAAATGCCCGGACGGCAGCACCTGCAACGTCCTCTGCCACAGTGGCTGGGCTCTCCAGCACAGACTTTTTATAGCTTCTGTTGGCTCCTAGGTCCTCATAGCACTTCTGTGCTGGAAGTTATTCCTATGTCCCGCTTGACCGAAGGCAATAGCTCCGCCGAGAATTGCCTAGAAGGCCAGATGTCAAACGAGCATGTCTCAAACTATTGAAATATTGAGTCTTCCGGGGATGCGTAGAGGTAGAAGTTACAGGGCCTCGGTCGTTTTTTGATTAATGCATCTGGCCGCCAACATGGAAGTGATATTGTGAATTCTGGTCCTGTGCATTTGCCACGCCTGGCGCAGTTGGAACTCCCTGCGACCCGAAGAACAACACGTGCTGCAAGGAGCACTGGGGCATAGCTTGCTGTGGCCATGGCTTGCTTGCTGGCGACATGCTGCCATAGCGGGCCTTTGCAACATTCTTGTTTGTGAGCTTGTTCGCGTAGTGCCTTGTGTAAGATGTGTGGACGCCGCCGTATAGCTCTGTGGGTCTGAGCAAAGGGCAGCTGCAGCGGCGCATCCGCTCCACTTGCAAAAAGGGGGCAGACCTGCTTTTTAGCCATGGGGTGCGCCGCTTCCACGCAGAACGTCTATGTGGCGAGCATGACGCTCGCCAGGAGTACCGGTCCCAATTCATAATCATCGCAACAAAAACGTATCCTTGCATAGATTTTGGCGAGAACCTCCAAACACCTCGATCCCTACCTAGCCTGGACAGTATGGTGAAGCGTTTTTCAATAAGTAGCGACCCGGAACCATATTGCCATATGGTCCTTGTTACCCATCAGTTTGACTACCACCACTTCTGAGAAAGCTTCAAGATCAGCCGAGGAAGATGGATGAAAGTGCAGATGCGGACGTGTTGGTCCGGGCCGAGGCCAAGACTTAGGGTATTTGGGCTGGAGTTTGGGACATTCTCATGGGTTGTTTTAGGGTTATGCATACTGTGGATGGAGCATATCCTGCGCCGCTGTGATCCCTGAAGTATTGTAGTTGCTGGAGGCCTGGGTCCAAAATGTCCTCTGTAGGGGTTGTAAAGCAATGCTCATAGAGAATGCATGGATCAGGACCGGAATCCGCGGGTTCTACAAGCTATGGGTGCCTTCGATAACAATGCCTACACAAGGCCACCACCCGATTCACGAAACAGTTTCCCACGCATTGAATTGTCCATGCTATGGGTCTTGTACCTTTCACCGTACATGGTGGTATCAAGATGAAGGGTTAGGGATTACCAGGATAGTTCTTGGAACACACAGCACCCGGCACCTGCACATATAGTTCAATCTTGAGATACTCCCATAGCAGCTGCGCTGCACTAGGGAGCCAAAGAAGCGGCGTCTTGGTCCAGGACTATTCTATCATCAGTTCAGCGAGCGGTGCTCCGCACATCACCACTTCCTGCAAGAATTTCCTTGAAACTCGATGCACGAATCTTCATGATGACTCGTAGTGGTGCATAAATAGCTATAGCGGTTGGGGCTCTCCTTGTGCTGTGGCCCAGGCTTTGGAGGAAACACGCGGCATCTACCACGAGGCGCCTCTGCTGATGTTTACTGCGCCATGGAGGCTCTCCCAATTTTAAGCGCCCTTTCTTGGGGTCTCGGTCATCACATACATTGTGTTTTTAAAATACGTGGGCGGTTCTGAGGTGGGGCCACATGCACATTTCCAGAGATGGCATATACCCACATGGTGCATGCTGAGTTGTGTGAACACCTCCCTGAGCACATGAGCTTTTTTAGTGCGCGTCAAGAAGCAGGATACGCAGCTGCTGGATTCAATGAAGCTTGTGGGGGCTGTTTGCAGCTACGAGCGGAGCAAAATCTGACCGTGTGTAGCCTCCTTAGTAAGCCGTGGCCATGGGCCGCGCTCTTTTGTGGCAGGCATGGCTCAACGCTGGCATGCTCGTCAACCTCCTGGCCCCCGTGCAGGCAGACAACTATGCTCCTCTTGATCGAGATCGTGAAGAAATCGAACGAGTGGACATGAACACCCTTGATAGCTTTGATTACGCAATGCGGATGCAGAGAAAAGGCTCAACGGAGTGGACCTTGTGGGACACCGCGCTGAAGTACGAAGAGCTCTCCTTGGTTCAGACCTCGCGAGCCAGAGGACACAGGGACGAAACACCTCGGAGGCGAACGAGGCCCAGCAACAAGAGGGCGGTGGAGGTGAGCCGCAGCCCGTCCCGGAAAAAAACAAAATCCCAGAGTGCCCCCCTGCACATCGCACGCTGGAGGCAAGCCAATTACGAGGAGGAGCGCAAGGCCAGGGAATGACAGGCGCCAGGGCAGGGAGGACTATGACCCCTCAGTTGGGCTTGTTGTTCCATTCAGAAGTTCTCACTCCACGACCCGCACCGTGGACCTCTTCAACGTGTTCTTCACCGCATGGTTGGCCATCTTCCATCTGGCTCTCCCCCATCGCCACTGGATTAGCATTCACCCCGATGTCAACATCCATCGACCCCGGACAGAGGCCCGGACAAACATCACCCCCTTCCACAGCGGCTGCCAAGCTGCTTTTTGACTTGGTTCCATCAGGTTCATCTTCTTGCAATACCCCAGTATGGTCCTCCTCCACCTGAGCGCCGCCATCAACTTGGTCCACGTCCTCATACACGATGTCCTGAGGCTTATCCTCCTCGCGTAACCCTGCGTCTTCTTTCCCTTCATCTGCTCGTTCCCTATTTCCCAGATCATCACCTCTGTGTTCTTCCCCGCCATGCTCAACTCCGTCCCCGAACCCTTGTTCTACCACAGTCTCCTTTCCAGCCTCCTGTTCAGTCCGCATGGGCTGGCACTCTTCATGGCGAACAAAATCTTGACGAAGTCGAGAAACCTTGCAGCACCACTTCAACAAGGGCTGCCCCCCTGCTTTGATTCTTAGCGCTGACTCTGTGAACCCCATCTTCCATTGCTCACAACGAGCGAAATTCAAACTGAGCTCCACCTCCGGCAAGCACGCGTTCTCCATCAGGCGCCCCTTCTCATCCCTAAGGACCCAGGACTTTGTCGAGGCTTGGGAAATTTCGTCCTCATGCGTTGCCCTGAGCACAAATTGTTGTACCATGGCCTGGCCCCAGCGCTCTGCAACAACCTGATCATCAAGGCCGTTCCTCCAGAGGTGGTAGTACGCTTCCACCGCAACTGGGATGCCATGTGCTCTTCCGTTTTTGTTGCCCTCCGGCAAGCTTCCCAACAGCTGCGTAGCTGCATCCTCGGCTTCTCCGTCCGCAACCTCCATTTGACGTCTGGTCTCTTCCATTTCTGCGTCCGTCATCTCTACATCAATGTCCATCACATGTTGCGGGATCACGTAAGTCAACCCCTCCATGCCATCAGCATTCAGCAAGATCTCCTCCTCGCCGACGGTGCTGCCATTCTCGCGCCTCGCCAGGACTGTCACTCGAAGCCGCCTTTGGCACTTGGTATTTGGCTGCATCGCCTCCTGAAGGCAGCAGTCATCCCTTTCTTGCGCCAAGCCCGCCCGGCGGGCTCGGTACCAGGTGTCATCGTCGTCTGCATCTTCTTGTTGTTCGTAGATCAGCCATGTCCAGGTACTCTACCAGCTTGCCCTTCGCATCCTCCCGAAAAGCGCGGTACGGGTAGTCCCTAGTCATGCCCTTGGCATTGATCTGGGCCGCGTAAATGATGCGGCCCACGTTGCGGAGCCGGAGGTGCTCCTTGCAGGGGATGTCGGGGTTGTCATACTCCAGGTGTTTCTGGCTGCTCAGGTACGCCCTCAATATGCCCTGTCCATGAGGTCACTGAAGTTCCTCACATACCCCCAACCGTACTTCATGAGATCCGGGTAGTCCCTAAGGATGTTCTTTGCATCGTTCCGGGCCACGAGGAAGAAACGATATTGCTCGTTGAAGGGGATGGCGAGGTACATGCGCTCCATGAAGTCCAGGTATTCCATAAGCATGCACTTCGTGTCCTGCGAAAGAGCGTAGAAAGCGCTGTTCACCAGCCGGGTTACTGTTTGTCCCCCGTTCCGCGTACAGGGCACGAAGCTCCAGCCGTCATCACCTTTACTCGCGGACCTCCTGGCGGGTCTCACCTTCCAGGTAGTTGTTGGGGTAAAACTCTTCGGCAGCTGCAGGAGCGCGTTCCCATCTCCTGCCCGTCTTGGGGCCATAACAGCACCATCCTGTATAGCTTGCACCACGCTAGCTAGGAGCAGCGTCACAAAGCGGTTCATGCCCTCTAAAAGGTACAGTCTTTGCTCCGGCGTCCTCGTGGAGCTGAGCTCTCGAATCCACCCCAGCGTGTCATTGGGCACCGCACTGGCTCCAGCTCCCTCATCCCTCGGCTGATGTATGCTAAGAGTTTTATTTTGGTCTCTTGTNNGAATCTCATGTGCGTCCGCTGCCACTTATGCTCCTAGGTCAAGACTAGCCCTACTTAAACAGCCCTAGTAGAACGCCTTCTACTCGTAAAGCTTTTTTAGCAGGCCCGAACGCTTTCTACCTGTAAAGTAAAGTTCTTAGCCTACAACAGCCTTGGTTTTGACCTTGGTTCAGCACTCAGCCGTCTGAGAGGCAACAGCCCCACGCTCTCGCCTGAGCTGCACTTGATTTCAGGTCAGAAGCCGCAGCCTAGACCTTAGCCTGCCCATGCTCTCGCTTGAGTCGCTTGGCCTCTGTCCCCGCAGGACAGTACTTTCAGCCCGCTAGGCTTCAGCCTTAGGCCGCAGCCTTGTGCCTGATAGCTCTCGCTTGAGCCTTGCAGCCCTGGCCTTTCAGGTCGGGCAGCCCTTCGTGGACGTCCTCACTTTTGCCTTGGCAAGGTTGAGCACCCACTTTCGGTAGCCTGCGCCTCAGTGCCGCCGCATAGGACTTGACAGTCATGTTCCCCATGATCACTCTTTTCTGCCCTTGCTAGTGCATATTCTGCTTTCGGCCTGCAGTCAGCCCATGCAGCCGCATCGCCCTCAGTTTGCGCCTTATCTTGTTCAGCTGTAGCCTGTCCCGCGGAGACGTGGTGATTTACCAGCCCTGTTGCAGCCTCAGTTACAAGCTGTCGAGGGTAGCCCGCGGTGCACCTTTTTCAGTCTTGTCAAGTCCCGCTGTGACGGCCTCACTTGTGTTAGCCGCGCTGACGCCTCAGCTTTCGGCTTCTTGAGCAGCCCGCTGTGCAGCCTTTCTTCTGGGAGCCCGCCGTGACCTCAGGCCAGGCCCCGCAAAAGCCTCCAGACGAGCAGCCCGCGGAGCTTGCAGACAAGTGCACTCTCCGCTGCAGGGGGGACTTTAGACGTGCCTAGCTGCAGTAGAGCAGACAGTCTTGACCAACATGTTACATGTTCAGCCCCCTCCTTCTTGAGCCATGGTGTGTGC